AGTGAGACCCTGTCTCGAAAAAAAAAAAAAAAAAAATTATTGAACCTTTGGTTGAATTAAATGGGAACTATTTTCTAATAGTTCATATTTTTACTTAGTTTAATTGTCAAAATATAACTTTGGAGGCTATTTAGATATTTGAACTTTTACTAGTAACTAGGGAATATAATTTGTACCAAAGGAGTTCATTGTACTAATAAATAAATACAGTAATAGCTTTATAATATTAAGAAATTGAGAACTGAACATAAAGAATGGAAAGGAAAAGAATGTGGGGAATGTAAAGGGGAGACTCCCTCTTCCTTAGGGTCTGTGGGACCAACTGTAGATTCTTAATAGTATTCAGAGATGATGGCTAAGAAGGAATTTGTACTGAATTGTCTCCCTTGAGTATTTCTGTCATTGAAAGTGGTGGTGGTGGCAATAGTGAAAGCATAATCTTTGGGCACAAAGTCACATGGAAGAAAGTGACCAATATGAGGATTCTGCTAGTCAGAGACAAACTGTTAACTACTTGGAGTATCAAAAAAGAAAAACAAAGATGGATTTCTTGCCAATGTCAGTCAATGTGTTTCACTCTCCTTTTCTGTTTCAAGCCACAGACAGAACTCGTTTGTTTTCCTGCTACTTCTTTCTTATATTTTAAACACTGCTTTCCAGGCATCTTTAGTAAAGGTTTCAATCCATGAGTGGTAGTCCTAGGTAAACTTGTGTGCGATAGTCACTAAAGAAATTGATCCAAGGGAGTGAAAGGGAAGGCAGGGAGAGAAACATTTAGAGAGTCACAGGGGTTATTACCTTATTACCTTACACATGGGCAAGAGGGCTGGAGAAAGGTAGGAATAGTGATATTAGAGCAGCCATTTCAAGTTAGGGAGCATTGTGTCTGTATTGTGAAGACACATGCATGGCATTGGTCAGGAAGTGAACTCTTGCATTTATACACTCCACATAGGCAGAGTAGAGGTCCATGGATTTGCTGCACATGATGGTGTTTATAGTCACTAGTAAAGTACATTGAGAGTACTGTGTTATTTAACTAGGTAAAACATTGATGTTGTGACTGATCTTTTCCTCGTAAATTAGAGAGTTCAAGATTGTTCCCATAATGTTATTAAGAATGAAAAGTATGCTTTCTTGATTTTGAGAAAAACAGCAGCAATACATAGTTTCTGAAGAATTGCCCGATACTCTGAATTGCAGCTAGTGTGCAGAAGACCCATACAACCCTGTGAATGCCCATGGAAGTATGGCACATGGGAACATTATTAGTCATGGATAGGAGTAGAGGAAAGGCTGAGAACCTCTGGTTTATATAGTCCAATAAAGGCCAATTTGTTAAATTAAATTTGTCAGTTAAATATTTGCCTTTAAAATTCAACACATCTTTTGATACAGCAAGTAGATAAATGAAATCAGTCACAGTGTTTGAAAGTTGTTCTCCAGACTGAAAGTACAACTGTGCTTCTGTATAAAGATGAAACTGTTTAAATATGTCCATTGTCACAAGACCAATGAACTGGTTGAGCTAGCACTAGGATCATAGGCTCCAATTATAAAGTAGAGATAGAAGTAGGCAAAAATGGAGATGGGGAAATACCAACAATTGAAAGATGTTCTTTTTACTATATTGATAATCATATAATTAACCTTGTCCTTCAGTAGTAGTTCTGGTTATGGGTAAGAAATATTATAGCTATGAGTAGTAAAAATGGATGACAGAGTACTTTCAACTTGGATTTTGAATATATTTTTAAATTTTAGATGAATATAGTGAGTTTCATGTTTTGGGAATCACTTCTGAAAACCTAGTAACACCTGTCTCAGATTACCTGAGACTTCCCCAACCCCCTCTGTTCCTTCAATTTTCCTCACTTCACGAGTAGAACTTTTTTTCCAACTCATGCATGTTTAAGTCTTCCTTGAAGTTAGAAAGATAATTGTCACAGTGGGTTCAAAGGGATACATGTAAAATAACAAGAACAGGTCAAGATATCACAATGTTGAACAAAGAGCATATTAGAAACCATTAATGGTCAAGTCATTGAGATTCATACTCATGGAAAACCTTGAAATGTGATTGTTAAGTCCAATTTTTAGTTATTAAGGTGAACTGTGATCAGACTATATTTATAATTTATTTAGGATATTTGGAAAGAATTTAAAACTAAAAAAAGTACCTTAAAATCTAATTTAGAAAATAATATCCTTCCATTGTAAAATAAATGGAAAATATACAAAGAAATAAGAATAATATAAAACTCTTTCAGAGTTCTAAAATTCTACCATTTATTAAAGAATGCATAACCGCTATTTAATTTTCTTTCTTTCTTTCTCTCTTTATTGTCAATACTTGTGTGTGTGTGTTTTAAAGTACAGTTGGGATCCAACACTTTTAACTGCTTTTTCATTTTATATATTAGAAACATTTTATAAATTATCAAGTTTTATTTTATAATATAATTTTAATAGCTGTGTAGTATAGGAAGGACTTTAAATGTATATTCAATTTAACCAGCACTTACCATAATAAATTATTTTTCCTGTGTAGGTTTTAGATACTTGTACAATGAGAATGAATCTAAATTCGCCAGCCAGATATCTTTATGATTTGTATGGGAGAAAAATTGAAGATATTTCAAAAGGTAAGTGGCAAAGATTTTGTAAACCATGTGATAACATTTCGAAAGCCATTTGTATAACTTTGTTTTTACTTTAAACATTTAAAAGGAAAGAGATGTAATAAAGCAGAGTTTAATTATAATATGGATATATATGATATTCTTATACAAAGGGAAATCATGAAATGGCATTAAAGTTTTAGGAATCTTTTATTTTAGCATAAGTTTGGATTTTTTTAAAAAATTGATTGGCATTTTAATCTTAGGAAACCATAACTAATTAAATAAAAGTAATTAATACATTTTTGTAATTTAACAGCCAATTTCTTTTTCTTTTTTTTTTGAGTTTTTATTTTTATTTTATTCCAATAGATTTAGGGATACAAGTGGTTTTCAGTTACATGAATGCATTGTATAGTGGTGAAGTCTGGGCTTTTAGTGTACCTATTATCCAAATAATGTGCATTGTACCCAGTAGATAATTTTCATCCCTCATTCCCATCTCACCCTCCCCCCTTTTGAATCTCTAATATCCATTATACCCTCCCCTCTTTTGAGTCTCTGTATGCCTCTGTGTACTCATAGCTTAGCTGCCACTTATAAGTGAGAACACGTAGTATTTAGTTTTTTGTTCCAGAGTTACTTAGGGTAATGGCATCCAGTTCCATCCAAGTTGCTGCAAAACACATAATTTAATTCTTTTTTATGGCTGAGTAGTATTCCATGGTGTGTGTGTGTGTGTGTGTGTATATATATATATATATATATATACACACATATATATGTATATATGTATCTCACCCAATAGTGAGATACTGGATCAAATGGTGGGTCTACTTTTAGTTCTCTGAGAAATCTATACTGTTTTCCATAGAGGTTGTACTCATCTGCATTCCTACCAACAGTATATAAGGGTTCCCTTTTCACTGCATCTGTGTCAACATCAATTGTTTTCTGACTTTTTAATAATGGCTATTCTTACTGGGGTAAGATGGTATCTCACTGTAGTTTTAATTTTAACAGCTAATTTGTATAGGATACAGCTTTCTAAAGAGAAAAATGAGAAATTGTGCTACTGTATGATCAGATAGAGATTTTAAAAATGTTTTGGTCAACTTCTAGAAGTTATTCAAAAGTTAAGAAATGTCACACATACATACACTAGCTATAGATCAGTTTGGAAGCACTAAGCATGCTCCTACCATGGCTGATCTCAAGCTACCATTGAATGCAGAGTTGTAGGCAAGGGGTTGTGGGGGGAGGGACGGGGAATGTTTTAAGTCACTGAAAGCAGAGTTTGGGGAAGAGATGAGAGCGATTAGTTTGTACCTCCATATATACGTCCTTTATCATGGAATTGTCAGATTTGGAATTAATTTGACAATAGAGAAATATACATACTAGGTCCCTGCATTATCAATTCTGCTAGTACATGGTACTTATTCTGGGCCAGGCACTATTCTAAACTCATCACAAATATTAACTCATTTAGTTCTCAGGGAAACTATATTAATTGCTTAGAAACTGTGTTAATTACTTAGAGTATTAGAAAACAAGGATGGTTTGCATGCTAATGTCAGTCAATGTGTTCCACTCTCTTTTTTGTCTCAAGCCACAGACGAAACTCCAGTTTCTTCTCCTGATACTTCTCTCTCCTATTTTGGAATTTGCTTTTCAAGCATCTTCAGTAAAGGTTTCAGTTCCTATTTCCTGCAGTAACTGAGTCACACAAAAGTTAGGTAATTTGTTCAAGGTCACACAACTAGGAAGTGGTAGAGTTGGGATTCAAACCTAGGCAGTCTAGTTCCAGGATCAGCACTTTTAACAATTGTACTTTATGTTCTCTTTCTCTCTCTCTCTCTCTCTCTCTCTCTCTCTCACTCTCACTTCCCCACCCCCTCATCTATCACAGCACTGTATTTGTTTTCCTAATACATTTGATATAGGCTGTAATTATTTTATTACTTTGTTACTCTGTGTGTGTGTGTGCCCCTCTCCTACCAAACTGCAAACTTCTGGGAACAGTGACCATAATACACTCAATAAATAGTACTTGGATGTATGAAGTAATTTTATATCACGCTCCCACATGATCTGTCTTTTGACCAGAATGTAACATACATGAGGGCAAGAACAGAGACAATCTTCGTTGTAATACCAGTAATTAGCACAGTGCCTGGGACGTAACTGACACTCACACTCATAATGGCATGAATGAATTAAACTGTCTACTCTTAGACATTCATTTGCTTCTAATGTTACACTATTAAAATGAGTTCATATTCAGACAAAAAATGTTATGAAATATGCTTTAAAACAATTTCATTGTATGTCTTGTCAAAAGATGAGATATCCATCTAATATCTCTAAAGGTTCTGTTTTGTTAGTACCTGAGAACAAAAATAGCATGAATTCCACATTTGTGAATTTAAATGTGCTATTGGGATGATCCTATCATGTCATCTAAACTTTAACTCCATGTATGAGGAGGACCAAGATATTAAATAACATGCCTTTCTTTAGCTGCAAGACTAGGTTCAGACAACCAGAGTGATTTTGGGGTGTGGCTACACTATATACTTTGATTTTTTTCTCAATTTTTTCACTTGTATAAAAGCAGATTATTTCCTTGATTTATCATACTTAATTAATACTTATTGAATGATAACTATGACATTTGGTACTTATGGTTTATAACTCAAATTTTTTGGCTAACGATTGTAATATGTGTATGCATATTTAGAAAGTGTCTTTTTCTTATCATTTTTAATGTTTCTATTAGATATGATAATTATTTGTCATTTTAGTAAGAGTTTCCTTTTGACAATTTCAAAGCTCCTATAGATGCCCACCCATTATCTAGAAGGATTAGAAAAAGTTATTTACCTGTAAAGCATGTGTAACACAAGGAGTCCTTCCTTTTGGTCTTTTTTGGAGGGCAGTAAGAGTATTATTCTTAAAGTTGATTTCTTCCTTTCTTGCATTTTTGTCTCCTCTTCCATTGCACTAAATAACATTTTCTTTATGATCAACAATATTTTATAATTACTCTTAAATTTGCATTAATAAAAAAATAATCAACACATTTTCTTAGGACCCTATCTAGCCTTGAATTATTTCCAGGCTGCCTGGAATTAAAAAAATTGCATTCAAGTAAACTGGTAGAATTGAAACTATAAGGAACTTTGAATAAAAGATTTATATTTAGAAAGTTGATTTTCCCCCCTCCCAAATATGGTATAACAGAATTACTTATCAAAACATTTTCTTAGGACCCTATCTAGCCTTGAATTATTTCCAAGCTGCCTGGAATTAAAAAATTGCATTCAAGTAAACTGGTAGAATTGAAACTATAAGGAACCTTGAATAAAAGATTTATATTTAGAAAGTTGATTTTCCCCCCTCCCAAATATGGTATAACAGAATTACTTATCAAAACAGAAAATCACTGACTCTGAGGCATACTTCATGGATGCCAGAGGCATTTGGATTCATGCCTCATGCTTCACATGTCCCAGAAATGTGCTATTATCCCATTTTAATGCATGCCTTGCCCTGTGTTTTTGCATACTTATAAAAGCATATGCCAGCTGAAATTAGCCTATGCGACTGCTAACCTGTGGAAGCATTACAAGTTCACTGCACTTAAAATACTTAAAGGAGCTAATCCTGTTGGAGGAACTTCCAGTCTGTAGCACCCTAGTCACTTAACATTAGGTTTTTAAATTTCTTTTTTCTTTGTTTGTTATTACAATTTCGTGCATCAAATGATTGAGATCCTTAAATTTTTATGTTTGATGTTCTTCCTTCTGAACCTCAACTTGGGAAAGGTCAAGTGTTATGTGAAGGCTATCTTTTAATTTAAATAAATCAACACTGATACTCTTTCGGTTTGATGTGTAACTCTCTTTTTTTGCTTGCTTTGAGTCAGGTAAGAAAAAGTCATTTAATAATGTCTAATATTAAGATCATGTAAATTATATTTATAAGCACAGATTAGAAGTGTAATTGTACAAAGGAATAAAAACAACAAATACACAAAGTAAAAATTTTTGTCCTATCTGTTGCTTCCTTTTTGGAATTAGATATACTTTCAAATTTTCCTCCTGTCCTATGAGAAATGAGCACATTGACATGACATTAAACTACTTTTGCTTTGAAAAGTCTAGTGAAACCTTTGAAAAACTGATCAGATTTAGATTTCTAAATCATAAAGGATTTTAACAAGGAAATTTATGTTGGTTCACATGGAAAAGTACTTTTGTTATGACTCCTATATAGAACTGTCCTTTCTATAGCAGAAGGGATATCTATACCTACTTTGTGTAGATACCATATTCCTTAGATGGTCAACATGCTAGTACATAATATAGCTATTCCTTGGTGTCTGTGGAGGATTGGTTACAGGACCCTCCATATCAAAATCCATGGATGCTCAAGTCCCTTATATAAAATAGAGTAGTATTTGCATGTAACCTATATCCTCATGTGTACTTTAAATCATCTCTAGATTACTTAAAATATCTAATACAATGTAAATGCTATGTAAAGAGTTGTTACAGTATATTGTTTTTTAAATTTTTATTATTTTTATTGTGTTATTTTTTATTTTTTAAATACTTTCCATCTGAGCCTGTTTGAATGTAGGGATGTGGGACCTGCAGATAGAGAGGGCTGACTGTATGCTTGAAAAATGCATTCTGAAAAATCATGACCACCAAAATAATAGCTATGGGAAAAATAAGTTTGAGGAGGACCATTCAAAGTCACCTTTAAAACCACAACACTAGCTAAAATAACAATTAACTTAGCAGACAATGTAAACAGCCTGGGCAAGCATCTTGGAGTGCTGCTTCAGAGGATGTTAAAGCTGCACAAAAACAAAAGCGTGTGAGACAATGCAGATAGAAGTGAAGTGGAAGTTTGAGGCAGTGGGGCTTCTTTTAAGAATGACACAGGAGGAATAAAAGTCCCACAGTCAGTGAGTCATGTAAGGCCAGGGGTGCCCCTTTCTGGGATGGGAACTCCAGTACAGCAGCCAAGCTAAGGGCTTTTTTCTTTCCTGCTAAAGGATAGAATTTTATTCCTACTCTTTTGGTTTCTTTTACTTAGGAAAAAGCACGTATTCACTAACCAAACTTCCATATCATTTTGACATCATTTCCCTATTCACTAATCATATATGAACTATTTGATGTTATAGAAGCATTTAACAGTAGCAGACAGATGTAGATAGTATCTGATTTTGAGAGAGTTGTTTGATAACACTCCCATGCATCCTAAAATCTCACAAATTTGATGTCTAAAATTCTTTGTCATAATTATTGCATTACGGTGAACGAGAGGAGTCACTCACCCTCTTGAGGGAGGAAGAGGTCCTCAGTCTCTTGGGACCTTTTTGAGGCTGCTAGTCCAATAACGATATTCTGCTCCTTTGTAGAGCCTTCTAGATCATAGGGGGTAGTATTACATTTACCCCAGTGGTTCCAAAATGAGTTAGAAAGTACATTAGTTAAATTGACTCCAAGGCCATTCTGTGACACACCGATGGTTCACTTCCTATTCCATTTCCCACCACAAGTTATGCCCAGTAAAACTGTCCAAAATAGCTATATATTTTCTGACATGTTCTTCAGAGATTCTACAATGAGATTAAATACAGAATTAACATATTTCAATCATAAAATTCCAATTACATACAGATGCTCCAAATTTGAATGTTGACCCTTGACCATTATCAACTTTGGTGGAGAAATTAAAATTTGAAGAATAAAATTCCAAAGAAATTAAAATCCAGAATTAAGTCCACACAGAAATGAATTTCAAAATCAATTTATCTTACATTTGTGAGTTAAAATTCAATCAAAGTTCAAACTCCTCAAGTTTAAGTGCAAAGAAATTAAATTCCTAATTTTTATTCTTCCCGGTGTCAGCCAGATGGCTTCTGGATGCCTGATTTGAGCTGGGATGTCTCCAGCAGTTACCGTCTGGGCTCCTGGAGTGGGTGTCATCCCTTAGGACCTCAGAAGTTGAATTAGGTCTACGCCAACATTTTCATGTGCCTTGCTTCCAACCAAACAAAATGATTATCAAACATCAACACCACACCCAGCACATTCAAAACAGAAGCCAGTCCAAGTAAATGTGTCTATTTCATGTAAAATAATGTTTCCAGGACCCTATGTTTGGCATAATCTAAACCCACATGACTGATTGTTGCCAAATACCATAGAAGAGACTATGTGAAGGAAGGCAGAGAAGAGAAAATGTTCTTCATATCAGTATTTCCAAGATGCCAGTCAGTCTACGCTATCGACCAGGGTCTATGACCTGTGATATAACTTGCTGAGAAGCAATCTCCCACTAAGGCATTAGTTATGGTATCATGTATTTACAGTATCTTGATGGAAAAATTGACCAGTGCACACTGTCTCCTGTTTCAAAGAGACTGCCTAAAATGTTGGTTAAGTGCTCTGATTTTGGAACCAGAATTCAAATTCCAGTTATGCCACTTACTATATGACCTTATCTTCTTGGAGAGTCAGTTTCCTTAACTGTAATATAGGAATTATATTATTTACCTTAATAGGTTGTTGTAAGCATTAAATCAATTATATGTAGAGTCCTTAGAACAAGTATCTGACACTTGGTAAACATTGTATAAAATTAACTATCATCATTATTACTGTTAATATTATTCTCAAAGAGGGTTCTAAAAG